AATTCAAGTTGAATAGGAGATGATCATAAATTCCACACTATTATATTAAATGAGGCAAAATGTAATTTTAAAGCAGCATTATTTATTTTAACGATTCCAATTCAAAACGCTGTAGCTATCATGTAGCCATGCATGTTTTAAGACAATTGTTAATGTTTTTTTTAATATTAATCTATTAGTTTTACTGTAATAACAGTGGAATTATATTATTGTAACGTATTTTAAGCTCAGTATCCATATAAATAAATAAATAAATAAATCATAACTCATATCACAAATTGACCATAATTCCCGCGCGCACTAAATTCCGCATCGATTTCGATTTAAAATATCGTTTTTCCATGGCATTTTAATGTAGGGCATGCATTAATAATGCGGCCTACAATATATAGGGCAATTAATTGTGTTCAGTCTGAGTGACCTACATAGGCTGACAAACAATTCAGAAACCGAGTTAAGACAATCTTGATCTAAAGGACTCGTCCTTTAATGAAGCGTTTTAATTAAATTCTATTCAACGGAATTCATAGTAATAAACGCTTCAAATATTATATTATACGAGGAGTTCGTGATACATTCCATATTACGACTAAGAGATAGTTCCCGACTGATAAACAATTTCTCTGTTTAACCCTCCATAATTATGATTGACAGAAATTATATGCATATATATTCGAATATATATATATATATATATATATATATATATATATATATATATTTATGTTTGTGTGTTTGTGTGTTTATGTGTATATAGAGGAGACTTGGTACGGTTGCACTTGGTATTTTTTCGATTAGCTAAAATTTTATTAATATACCAGATAGCTGGGAGAAAAATAAAGTAAATGGTAATTTGAACATTTGAACATTAAATGCGGTGGATGCAGCTTCGATTTAATCCATCGCATTTAAGGGCAATATTTCATTATTTCTACGTAGACAAATGCTTAAATTACCATTTACTTCATTTTTCTCTCAGCTATCTAGTAAATTAACAAAATTTTAGCTGAGTCATCATGAAGTCCACAAATAAAATCATACAAGGAGAGGGCGAGTGTCACAAACGTCCTCAATTCAAGGTCAGTTGTGACAGGCATAAAAATATGTTAAAAACCAAAATAGTTCTTAACGACTTTTATTGTCATAAACATGTTATGTATTGTCATACATAAAACAACACCACATAATCACTCATTAAAGATTATGAATATAACATAACATTTTTATGACGACTGTCACTACCATACCCTGACACAGCAGTACCAAGACTCCTCTTTGTAAAACGTATACATAATATATGCATATAAACTTGATATATATTTGTTCAACGTCGAAACTCACTTTTAATAAAAATATTCTACTCGTTAATAGTAAAATCAATAAATTAATTTGTGTGAATTCTGTGGTCGTTAGGAGCAAACGTGGACTATCATCTGTAAATTATTTTTAAATCAAACAAAAACACACATGGGATACACAAGTTCTATTGCACTTTGATTTTAATTAATTAGAAATTTTTTCCAGTAAAACAAGACTAATATTTTTTTAAAAAGTAGCTTTTTATATCGTGATGCGGTACAATAACTTAAGTATTAACATAAGAGATGAGTTTATTATCTTCATTGAAATTACAAAATCAATAATTTTTTTTCACTCAATTTCGAAGAAATTGTTCGGTTGATTTCTGCGTATTATTAATTAATGTTTATAAAAATCTAATAGCATCTAATATTTGTTTTGTGCTATAATATTTTACATACAAGTTAATCGTTCCGTTGAAAGAAACCAATTTTTACATATCTACAATTTCTTTCGAAAGAATTATTGTGTCCAAAATATGTTCATGATTTAAGGGCAAACTCAAAATTTTATTTCAAACTTGAAACTGCACACGTGCAAAACGACTGTATCAATTGTTGCTCATTTTTTTGTATTTTTAAACAAAATTGCTTGTCATATGTCTTTACCAATTGATATTACTAATTGCGGCGACAAAGTTTAGTCCTGATTAAAATCCAACCCTGGACATTAATAGCAAACAGTACCGTTATCTGGAACTGTATAAATACGAGACACCGGAGACACTGAGGTCTCTTCGACCTCAGTCAGCCGAGGCATACGGACCTTACCATCAAATACCATTGGCAACTAAGTAAGTGCTGCTTTCTTTTTATTTGATTTCAATTGAATATTAAGGTCCCTTGATGCATTCCAAATAAATCCATTTAGTTACTGAATATGTAACTGTATGTATGTAATATGTTACTGAATGATAGTAGATAATTCAGCTGTCAATAAGTAAAAAGGAGTTCTTTGACCGATTGCCTAGATTTCCGTTTGGCGTTCGTTGAAAAATGGATAATTAAATCGAAAATTGTTGTCATATTTTTAACTTCCCGTAGGGTAAGTTATAGTAATCGCAAAAAAATCGAAAATGAAAATTTTTATATATCTTTACGTTTCAGAGGTTTCTGAACATTTTGGCATACCTTAGAAAAAATGGATGTATGTGTGTGTGGGTGTGTGTGTGTGTATGTGTGTGTGTATGTGTGTGTGTGTGTGTATGTATGTATGTGTGTGTATGTATGTGCGGATACAAATTTTCGTCGACGATTTCGGGAACACGGGTCAACCGATTTGAATAATTCAAAAAACATTCGATTCGTATTGATAAGGAGACGTGCTGATTAGTTTTTGGCGAAGGCAGGTCTAGCCGTTCCGAAGATACGGGGCAAAAAGTGCCGAAAACGGTAACTCAGTTTTTGAGAGAACGGAGCGTCCGATTGGAATAATTCAAAAAACATTTCACTTGTATTGACAAGGTTAAGAATCGATAAAATTTTCATGAAGGTAGCTCTAGCGGTTTCGGAGATATGGAGGAAAAAGTAAAAAAATAAGCCATTTGGCGGTCAAAAATGATCATTAGACATATGCTCATCAAATTATCAGATATTTTATAGAGATTTTAACAATAAGTATACATTTTGTTAACATTCCTATGGGTTCCGTACCAATGCTTATGCGTTAGACAGCGACGCGGCGCTTACGCGCTTTATATTTTGCCCCTATGCAGTTAAAGCAGTACGATTGCTTTGAAAAGAAAGTTCAGATCTTCCACAATATGTCAAAATAAAAAAAAAAAATTTTTTCAAAAAAAAAAAAAAAAAAAAAATAAAAAAAAAAATTTTTTTTTTAAAAATTTTTTTTCAAAAAAAAGTAATTTTTTGTCCAATTTATAGTTTCTTAAAAATCGTATTTTTTCGAAGTAATTTTTTTTAAAAAATGTCAATCGTTTTTAAAAAAATAATAATTTTTGGTACGGGAAGTTCCAGCAATTTGCCTTAAGGCACGATGCCTTAATTGCCTTAAGACAGAATTCCACTTACAGCTAGTGCTTTTTTGTTTCTGCAAAGGTGAAAATGCATCTTAAGATCGATAAAATAATTGTTTATGGTGACAGAGCTTCAAAAATGGCAGTCAAAATTGGTTTGCCAAATTTTGTTCTGGTGATTTTTCACTCAAATATGAAATACGCTCTGGCTGTTCAGATAAAGTTGATTTAAAACGAATGTTCTGTTGTCACCAACCGAACAAGAAACCTTAATGTCTACATTGAGCAAATATTGAAATTAATAAATACAGTTGAAAAAGCAGCCTGAATTGGCAAATCGAAACAGCGATTTATTCCATTATTTATATCAAATATCTTTGGCCACTCGGCAAAAATTATTGGAGCTTGGTTGGGATATTTTACCATAACCATCATACAGTTCTGACTATGCATCTCCTGATTAATTTTTATTTCGTTTTACAAAACACCTTGAATTATATACAATTTTATTGGTTATGACAGTGTCAACTGGTATTTGATTTGTTTTTTTTTTAATAAATTCCAGATGTTTTATGAAATTGGGTCAATGATGCTGCTCGAAAGATGATAAAAAGTTATTGAATAAAATGCACAATGCCTTATAGAATAAGGTTCAGCTCCATGTATAAAATAAGGTTATTATGTTCCACGTGTACACACAGGCACACTCTTTTATTGTTACTTTCATTTGTATCTGATGCATTCAGAATTTTAGATTTTAGTTTTAAAAAAATCATAAAAATTTATTCTCATCTACTGGTCAGTGTAACTTCCAGTGCTGAATTTACAGTAGGGGTAGCAAATTTTCTGGGGCGGCAAAATTTGGAACGTAAGAAAAAAGTATTAGGAGGTTTCTTAAGACTTAAAGATATACAAGAATTTTCATTATCGATTTTGTTGCGATTACCGTAACTTATCCTACGGGAAGTTAAGAAGTTCTTGAAATGTGCCTGTGAAAAATGTCCTTAGTGCAAAATTTGTATGTCTTGTTGTTAGAACAAATGAATATTTTGTTACATTATTATAGTTTCTAATGCAATCATATAGTTATTTTAATTTAAAAAAATGAGACATAAAAACCTATTAAGTGAAATTTTAAGGACGGGGCGGCATTTTTGTCTGCACCCAGGGCGCCAATTTTTAAAATCTGGTCCTTGTAACTCCTCATTAATATTTATCAAAAAGCTTTAAAATTGGTGCATCAGATTTTTAGAAAACATGAAAACGACAAGTAATATTTGTTTTCACATAAATAAATAGGTGACTAATTGATTTAGTGAGATTGAGTCAATGATTTTAATTATTTTAACGCGCCAGGTTTTGAATCAAGGGTATCAGGTTCGGTACCCTCTTCGAGTAGCCTGATGTCGGACAGTAGTGACATCGGTTTTCAATAGGAAATATAATCAGTAACATCTTTTTAAGAGAAAACAACATTTTTCCGACATCGCTGCTTCAATAAATATTTCGACTTGCTATTCAAATGAAAAAAAATATTATGACTCAATCTAATATATCATACAAATTAACAGTTTCATTTTAATGACGTTCAACGCTACAAATACCTAATTTTATTTTTTATCCCTCGATGAATATCCTTGATTCTCATCAATCGATTTTTATTCCGCAGGTGGATTTGCGGCATCGCGACGAACAGACAGGAAGCAACGTCGTCGATATCGGAATTGATCTTTCAGAATTTTATACTTCCGTCGAATGGGATATACTAGAAGTTCCGGCTGTCAGGTAAATGAAAACTCTAATAAAAATCTTAATAGGAAACATTTAATTTTGATTGCTAGATTGTGATAAAATGAACGAGAAGTATACTATCTTATATAAGAAAAACGCGGAACGTTTTTAATGATTTTTTTAACGTATGTTTATCATTTTATCAAAATTATTGGTATCATTCATATTTTAATTATCTCTACTAGTATTATAGTAAACTTTATATAATTATTAACAATCTACAGGAAAGACTGGATACGGTTGGTCCACTTTTTTTTATTAGCAATAATTTTGTTGATATAGCAATTAGCTGGAAGAAAAGTAAATTAAATGGTGATTTGAACATTTGATTATGAAAATATACTGAAATACTGTCTTCAAACATAATGAAGTTGTAAATTATATATGAGTCACAACCGCCCACACGCGAGGGACGATTGTGACAGGCGTAAAAATTAAATGAAAAAACTGTAGCTATGGACATCAAAATTGTTTATAACGATTTTTATTGTCGTCAATAACAAAGATATGTAACACAACACACACAACATAAACATTTGAACAAATCTTATGAATTAAATACATATAACAATATATAACAAAGCATATTTTTTTAAATAAAATTAACAAGAATTTATTGTGAAATTTTTTCTGTTCCCCTATTATATTGAATTTATCTTTTCTTCTCCCTTTCGTATTTTGTCTTAGTTATGTTAGATGTTTTAATGTTAGCTGTTTAATCCTCACCCGAAAGGAACAACAAATACAATGTTACAGCTGTACCCCAAAATTTGTCACTACCGTACCCAACGCAACCTTTGAAAACAAATCATAATTATGACTGAGCTAAAAACTAAGCAAAAACTAATTGCTGGAAAATAGCTACTAAAATTCAACTTACAGCAAAATAATAAACAATGTCATCTATCTGTATACAATTAACAGTTATTATTAAACGAATTTGAACATTCACTCTTTGTAAGCAATGCAGCCTACAGATCATGTTAATTTCATGCAATGACTGAAAGCAATAAGTGGAAATTGTTGAAACAATTTATACCTTATCTTTCCCTCTTTAGACCCTACCTCAAAATCAGCATAGTGCAGTTCTTATGACAACTGTCACAACTGCACCCAGTCTCCTCTACAATTCAATACGTAATTTAAATTTTTACATATGAAAAACGTAAACTAGTATGATGAGTAAATACTATTAAATCACAACTGAAATAAATATTCAAAATCAGAACGATATTTTTCTCGTGAAAGTGCTTTTTTATATATGCATTGATCATTGTATTGTAAGTGTTAACCATTATTATATTAGGACATTCAAAACTTCATACAAGTTTTAAAAATCTACACAGTTCAATACATAATTATATTATATGATAGTGTAATAGATACTTAAAATCAAAATTCTGGAATCTTATTTTGAGTGATTACTGCAAATTTTTCATATAATTTGCTTTTTTGTTTGCTTTTGTTTTTTCTTATTTATTATACATACAATAATCAACAATTTTCAAAATTCTAACGAATCAGTCACCTAAATTGGCAAAAATGGGAAAACAATTTGTTTAGGAATTCTTTAAAACCCAACAAAAGGCAGCACATTCTAGACATAAAGTCACTACAGTTCTCGAAGTTTTAAATTTTTTTTTCAAACTTTGAGAGATTATTTGAAATAATTTTTCAAATAATTATTCGAATTTTTAAGCTCTGCATCGACAGCAAAAACATTTGTATATTAATTCAAACTTGATCTTTTTACAAAATTTATCTATCATACATTTTGAGAACTCCTATAATTTAATCATCATTACCATTACAAATCAAATTCTTTACACCCTAAATGTCAATGTTTTCCAACTTCGATACTTTTCAAAAAAGACTTTATTATACCATTAAATCTAAAAGAAAACTCAGTACACAATTCCAGAGGATAATTGAATGTGAATGATATAAACTTAAATTAGTGCCGACAACTTAGTTAAACAGAACTTTACGAACTAGTTTATTTGCTTTGCTCAAGTTGGATTCTACTTTCGTTTAATGTCACTGTGTAACAAGACTTCTGTAAAATGTTTCGTATTTTATTTTCAGGAATGAAAAATTTTACACGTGCTGTGATGAACCTTATTTGGATATTACATTTAATATAACGATGAGGCGAAAAACTTTGTTCTATACTGTCAACTTGATAATACCTTGCATGGGTATTAGTTTTTTGACGGTTTTGGTGTTTTATCTGCCGTCGGATAGTGGGGAAAAGGTAAATATATTTTCATGCATTTATTATAATATATCATTGATTTATTGTAATATCTAAAAAAGATGTAGAAATATTTTTCATTGAGAGACACAAATAAATATAATTTGGTCAAAGAATTTTTTTCCAAACAGTAGGAGAAACTTATATATACTTATAGCTCATTTTTCTGGACTAGAATTTTCTAAATTGGAATTTATTTTTTCAGAATAATATTGGAGAAACAAACTTGTAAACATAATTTTTTACTGTATGTCTACATATAAAACAGTTTCATCCATATTTATCATAACTGTTCATTTACATTTACTCATTCACTTTCAGAAACTTACAAAGATACTGAATTTGTAATGTAATATAAAAACTATTTTAATTTTTTTTACGTCCGAAGAAAACGATTTATATTCATATGTTGAAATGCATTTTGGTTACATGTGTTTTGTTGGATTGAACTACAAGAAATTCTAAAAATTTGGTATTTTTTCTAATTTGTTATTTTTATTTGGTACTTGCTAATACTATAATGTGCTTCATACAATTTGTTTTGCATAATTTGGCGAATTTTTGTCATAAATTAATAGAAAATTTAAAATGTTATAATACCCTACTAGTCGTTTGTTCAATATATTAATTTTATTAAATATTATTTAGAATCATTATCATTCAATATATTAATTTTATTATTTAATGAATTCTTTGATCTGAAATTAAAGTTTAGTTTATAATTCGTGAACGAAAATATTATGACACATAAGAATATTTATAAACCACTTAACCTCTAATTAAATCCTATTCATCATGAAATCAAGATTAATTTTGCATCAAAATATTTATTTAATTGGTGATGTTAAAACTCTAATTATTATCTTGATTCCATGATGAATAAATATTATAGAACAGCCCACATGGATTGAATTTGAGGTTAAAAGGTTTATAAATATTCTTATGTGTCATAATATTTTAGTTCACAAATAGTATACAGATGGCGCAAGTATTTACTTAATGACGTATGTTAATAACAAATATAAGAAATTTTCAATTGGCTAGCAATTCTATCAGTAGAATTGATCAGTTCAAAAAATTTCAGTCAAAAACTGCTTTGAATCACTCCAAATTATTTTATTAAGATACAATAAATCAGAGTTTCAGAAACTTGTTAAAACCATATTTCTGGAAAAATTACTATTCTAAAACCGTTTTTTAAAAATTTAAAAGGTTTTTGTATAACCCCTCCTACAAGAAACATCATTAGCGTTGCATATATTAAGAATTTCAGTCTTTAGCGTAAAAAAAGTCACACGTATAATTTGAACTATTACTATAAGTGAAATAAAAATAACGTTTATGATAAAGCATTTATATTATAGAATTTATATTATTCTCTATAAAATATCGTGCAAGGAAAACTTGACGGAAACGAGGGTCACTCCATCTGTCAACGTTGTCACTCAAAATGTCATTAAACCGACAGAGAAATATACAAATATACGTATATGTTCACTTATATTAAATAAACGATATATTACAGTTTGAAAAATATACATTATTTTGTTTGAAATATATACCAAAAGTATATACTTCAAAAAGCTGCAATATTTACTTCTTAATCTGCTACAGACTTGTGTCAATTAAGGGGGTATTCTAGCCTAAATTTTTTAAAACAATTAGTCTTTTTTCGAATTTTTTCAAAATTCAATTATCCAAGAACACGTGTACAAGAAGATTTTTCAAAATTTATATTACTTTTGGGTTTACAGCTATTTGACCACGATAATTCTACTCCGAATCCTTCCTTCGCGAAACTTTAATTATCGAAACTGTCTTATTTAATGATACCCAGGATACTCACGATTTCTCAACTACTACTGGACCAATTTATTTAAAATTTTTACAGAGTCTTCTTCAACGACTTCTTCTCAGTGTAAAGTACAATCATCTACAAATTCAAATTTTTACTGTTTTTAAACAATTTTGAAACTTTGAAAATAGAATAAAATTTCCTTTAGACCAGATACTTATAAATTACAGATGCAAATTGAATTGCATAAATATTTGCAGCGTTAATATATTTTGTTTTTTTTATTTCTTGTCATAACTTGGCCAATAGATACAGACAACATATTTGTTCAATATTATTATTAATGCAGTTAATTAATTTTTATTTATTTATTACAGGTTAGCTTGAGTATTTCAATTTTGCTGTCGTTGACTGTGTTCTTCTTGCTGCTTGCCGAAATTATCCCTCCGACTTCACTAGTTGTACCATTACTAGGAAAATTTGTACTATTTACTATGATACTAGACACATTCAGGTCAGTGGTAATATATTTAATTTAATTTTGCATAAAATGAATCTAATAAAAATATTTTTTATCTGGTAAAAGTTTTAATATTTATTCGTTATTACTATTCTGTTATAATGTTGAATTTACGCTTCTAGAGTTGTTTTTCTATGATGAATACTTCATCAGAGTTTTTAAATTAACTATTATTCTCCAGACCTGTTATATAGAATTCTTTCCTTCATTAGTTATATATTTTTAGTACCAGCTTGGTTATTCGTTAGTTCTAAATGAATTGTGCGTTTAACTTCAAGAAAAATCTTTTTTATTTTATTCAACAATAACGAAAAGAACGTAAGTAGAATTCTCATAGTATATTTCAACATAACGTCGACTATAATTTATAGCTTTCTTTTATTCTTGTACTCTATATGTTTAATATGATCACTTTAAAAAAACATTTTGAAAATTTGATCAAGTTCAAATAAGAGTTATTTAATTTTTTTTTTTTGAAACAAATGCTTTTGAATTACAAGTTTTATATTTCATCAAGATATCTGTGTATAATATATGAACTACCCTCATTTGATAAAAATTGTTATTAGACAATAATAACGAATTATACTTCTTATTATCTCATTCTTCTATGTAGATTAAACTATGTATATATTAAGTTTTACCAGGTATTGGTCCAATTCTTGGACATAAATTAATTACTTGAGGTTTTTTGCAAAAGATATTACTCCTAAAACTCATTTGTGGAAATTGGATTGGCAATAAAAAATTTGATCAAGTTCAAATAAGAGTTATTTAATTTTTTTTTTTTGAAACAAATGCTTTTGAATTACAAGTTTTATATTTCATCAAGATATCTGTGTATAATATATGAACTACCCTCATTTGATAAAAATTGTTATTAGACAATAATAACGAATTATACTTCTTATTATCTCATTCTTCTATGTAGATTAAACTATGTATATATTAAGTTTTACCAGGTATTGGTCCAATTCTTGGACATAAATTAATTACTTGAGGTTTTTTGCAAAAGATATTACTCCTAAAACTCATTTGTGGAAATTGGATTGGCAATAAACACAAAATATTTTTACGAGATCTTTGCTATTATTTTCTTTAAATAATAGAAGAAAAAAGCTATAAATAAATTCTTTTGTAAAATGTATTACCATTTCATTTAATTGTTACCTGTATATATCTTCTATATCTCGTCTAATTACGATTATCTCTTCCGCGTATTAATTCATTTTTCTCTGTTGCGTAATTAATTTATTCTTTTATGTTCACTTATATAATACTAAAACTATAAAAATAAATTGACAAAAGGTATCCCAGATTATATCAGTATTATTTCAGCTCGTTTGCAATGTTGACAAAGAATTACATGAACGTGACCCAGATGTCCGGCATCGTAATAATTGCTTTTATGAACATCATAGGTTATTTAGGAAATCATTTCTCTCTTTGTAACAAAAATATCCCTGTGATTTGAAATTTGAAAATAATAAATATTTTGATAAAGCACTTTAAATACTAATTTATTCTTTTATGTAAACCATCAATTTATATAAGAGTCAAGCAATTATACCAAAATAATTACTTCCCTTTTATGCCTATTTCGAGATCTATGTAAAAAATATATATATATATATATATATATATATATATATAGTATACCATCTGGCCTGACAAACGTTGTTTAGCCAAAAAAATAGTTCTAGAAAAATTAGAGTGTAGCAGATAAAAATTATGTGGTATATAAGTGAAAGGGGCAACTGGTTGGTTTACCCACTACAAAGTATGCTACATATAAATGTTCTTAGGGCATATGGATAGCCATTGCAAGTTCTAGCCAAACTGATTTTATATAAATTGAATCAACACATTTGAAAATTCAAGGTTTTGATATATTTTAAATGCGTTTCTCATTAATCCATTACTAATTTATTAATAATGCTGTGGGTCGAATCGAATCGAGTGGTTTTTAAAAACTTTGTGGAAAAATTTACAGTTTTACCATAGATTTAGTTACTACCGACTTTTGTCTCAAAAATAATTGTATCTACAGATTTTAATACTTCTGCTCTTTTATGCAAACTATTCATGAAATATGTACAATGATAGAATCTTCGAATCAGTGTTTTTTAATAGTCGATCATTAATCGCATTTTTTCGATGTTATCCTTTCGTCGCCAATATCTAAGTGTTGTTTTGAGAAAGTTTTAGATCGATGATAGATTGGAAACTATTTGGTAATATTGTGACTGTAAAATTTCTATTATCTTCTGTTAATCATATTGTAACATCATTAGTTTTTATATAAAACTTTTTATAGAGTAATGATGTTATAACTAGTTTGTTTATATAATTTAAATAATTATAACATCAACAATTTAGGCTCTAATTGAACTAGAGAATTTAAGTTAATATTTCCTAATATAGCCTCTTGCTGAGGATCGAACATATGAATCGCACTTGAAAAGGCCTTTAAAAAACCTTTAAAGTTAACAATGAGTCTTATCTGAGGCCAAAAAGAACAAATGACTAATTTAAAAAAAAATCGTAAAAATATATTTCTATAATTAGAAATTAACTAGAAATTTTACTGAACGTAGTTCTATAGTTGTTTTACTAAGAGTATCAACGTTAAAATAAATAGCGAACCTAGCGATATTATATATAGGGTAAAGTAGATCTTAAGGGTAAAAAGGTCCACCATGATTATCTAAAAATAAGGGAAGTATTGATTTTATCAAAGATACTATTTTAAAGTAGAAGACAAAAGAAGAATAACCAGCCATCACCTTAATTCTTACGACGTCGCTATCAGGAGACAAAGAAGCATGAATCAATATTTATAACAAAAGTATTTTTTTCGTTGATACTTCTTCTGATTTTTAACATTTTTAACTTCCCGTAGGGTAAGTTATTGTAATCGTCCAAAAATCTAAATTGAAAATTTTTACATTTCTTCACGTTTTGAATGTTTCTGAACATTTTGGCATAACTCAGAAAAAATGGATGTGTTAAAAATGGAGTGCAGAAAATAGAAATTGAGTTTTTGAGAGTACTAAGCATCCGATTTGAATGATTTAAAAAACTTTCTGCTCGTTTTGACAAAATAATTGCTTTTGAAAGAAAATATTTCAAAATTTTTATTTCCAAATTTTTCTTTTTTCAAAAAATTTTTTTGTATATCGAAAATAATCCAGATTTTAATTTTAATTCTGGCTAAAGTTCTAAAGCTCACTTATATACTTTAAATAAATAATTTTAACTTTGTAATTTGGTTTATATAACTCTTATAAATATTAGACAATGTTAAAGTATTTATAATAATCTATATGAAAACATTTAATATTTCTCGGACATTTTGTTACGGTACGGAAAGTTCCAGCAATTTGCTTTAAGGCACCATACACAACTAGTTATTTAGTTTATGATACCAAAATATGATTTTGAGATACACGTTTTAATTTTTTAATAATCTGTATTGTTATTTTAAAATTAGATTCCACAAATTTTTATATAAACTTTATGGAAGCTTACAGTAGGCTGTAAAGCTTCAACTAAACCTTTAAAACTAAACCTCTAAAACACTGGAAAATGTGTAAACAACAAGAAAATAGTAAATAAAAAGGTATATAAGGTTAATGAATGAAGAACCTTTACAAGAATTTTGTTAAATTAACAATTATTCCAAATCTGCTAATGCATCATTTTCATAAAGTACCAGACCAAAGCTTATATAATAGAAACTCTGGAAAAAATGTGCCCATGACTAATTTGTATTACATATTGGTCAAATAATTATAATTAAAATTTTGTAAAATGCCTTTAATATTAAAAATATGACACTGTATCTGTTTGCCCCATGTTCCTTACCTTTACCGCCTATGAGGCCAGAAGGAACAGATGACAAATTTAGAAAAAATAGTACAAAAACATTTTTTTTATTATTAGGGCTTAACGATAAATTTTACTGAACGTAGCTTATTAGTTATTTGTGTGCGTTGTGTTATAGTTCATTCACTACTTAAGTCAAACTGGACCTTTGTGCCCCGCTTTACCCTATATATTATTATTTGCAAAGAGTGATGCTTATATCATTTCGATAACGAAGCTGTAGTAAATCTTTAGGGAAGTTAAAAAAAATACCGATCAATGACTATCATTTTAACATTGTAGTTAATGTATATTTTTTTGCTTGGTTTCTTAAATTTGGGAATTTTGCAGGGGTGTGATTTACTTAAAAATTAGTTTGTTATGCGAAGACTCTTATATATATTCCAAAATTACTTTTAATACTAGTACCAGATTAATTTTATAATAAGTAACTATCAATAAAAATTGGAATATGATAACTATGTAACTTCAAAATAATTATTCTAAACGTCATTTATTCAGTGGACCAAAAAATCCTGAAACATAAATACTTTCCTAGCAATTTCAAAACCCTTTTTCCATATCTAAAAACAACTAGCTGTAAGTGAAATTCTGTCTTGAGGCAATTATGGCATCGTGCCTTGAGGCAAATTGCTGGAACTTCCCGCACCGTAACGAAATGTTCGAGGAATATTGAATGTTTTCAATAGATTATTATAAATATAGTAACATTGTCTAATATTTATAAGAATTATATAAACCGAATTGCAGAGTTGAAATTATTTCTAAAGTATATTAGAACTATAGTCTGAATTAAAAATAAAATCTGAAATATTTTCGATATACAAAATACTAAAAAAAAAAAAAAAAAAAAAATTGGAACAAAATTTTTTTTCCAAAATCAATTATTTTGTTAAGACAAGCAGAAAGTTCTTTGAATCATTTAAATCAAACGCTTAGTTCTCTCAAAAACTGCCATTTTTTACATATTTAGCTCCGTATCTTCGAAATGGCTGGGCCTGCCTTTGCCAAAAACTAATAAACACTTCTCCCAATCATTACTAATTGAATGTTTTTTAGATCATTCAAATCGGATACTCCGTTCGCTCAAAAATTCGATTTCTATTTTTTGCACTCTTTGCTCCGTATCTCCGAAACGGCTGGACCTGCCTTACCAAAAACTAATCAGCTCTTTTCCCAATCAATAGGAATCGAATGTTTTTTTGAACCATTCAAATCGGTTGATCCGTGCGCCCTAAAACGTGACTGGAAATTTGTATCCACACATACACACACACACACACACACACCACACACACACACACATCCATTTTTTTCTGAGGTATGCCAAAACGTTCAGAAACCTTCAAAACGTCGAGAAATGTAAAATTTTCAATTCCGATTTTCGGCCCATTACAATAACTTACCCTACGGGAAGTTAATAAAATGTACCATTTTGAGTGATCTTTTTTTCAGGCAATTTGCCTAATTGGTATATTAAAATCAATTCATTCATACATATTCTTGGTATCATAATACGTAAATATAAACACAAATAGACCCATCAAAGTCAGTTGCGCTGATTTGTAGATCACATTCTTTTTTTTCTCGTTAAATTTTGGGTGCATTCGACTTGGACGCTTACGCGCTGTGAGCGCGCCGTGAGCGCGCTTTCATCGTTCGACTTGGCGCTGTGAGTGTGGCATAAGTACGCTCGTAGCACCATCGTAGGATGCTCGTAGCACATATTTTGCGCTCACATACGCTCACGCCACAGAGGTAGGGCAGCGTGAGCGTGAGCGTCAGTTGTTTTTACTATCTGTCATTTCATTTGTTTATTAATTGTCAAATTCTTTATAATTCCGCAAAAATGGCAAGCTGTAGATCACAATTATTTCTTAATATTAATATTGATATTAATTAATTTTAAATTTAATCAATTTTAAATTTCAATTTTAATATTACTATTAATTAAGCATAAGCTAACCAAATTTCATTTATTTATTAATTGTTAAATTCTTTATAATCCCGCAAAAATGCCAAGTTGTATATCACATTTATTTTTTATTCATATTATTTATTTTATTTTATTCATACTATTTATTTATTTAAATTCAATTAATTTTAAATAATTTTAAATTTTAATTTTAATATTACTATTAATTAAGCATAAGCTAACCAAATTTCATTTATTCATTAATTGTTAAATTCTTTATAATCCCGCAAAATGCCAAGTTGTATATCACAATTATTTTTTAATATTAATATTAATATTAATTAATTTTAAATTTAATTAATTTTAAATAATTTTAAATTTCAATTTTAATATTACTATTAATTAAGCATAAGCTAACCAAATTTCATTTATTCATTAATTGTTAAATTCTTTATAATCCCGCTGAATGATCCAGAAAGTAATAAATTTACACAATTACCGTTACCGCCATTTGCCGCCATTTTGATGCTTATTGACGCTCACAGTTTCCAAAACGAACGGAATTTAGTTATCGATTCTGAGCGCTTATCGGCCAAGTCGAACGCTAAAAATTCGTGCTTATAAGCGTGAGCGCTCACAGCGCGTAAGCGTCCAAGTCGAATGCACCCTTTGTGTAAAGTACTATTTAAAGTTTGATAGCTTTCCTGATAATGACACGGCTTGTTCTACGATTCTCTTGTCTTTAAGCTAATTCAGAAGTTTTTATAGCTATAGTTTTTATAAGTTAAAAGAACATTTAATGAAAGTTTAATATGAGATCGTTCAAGTTTGTTTCTTATTGTAATCATAAAATATATAAAATGATTCCTCGTTAAATTAGCAATTATACATGGAATGTGATTTTAACTTTCTTTGACGTTGCTACTTGTGTATAATAATATATTGTGCTATATATAGTGCTTTCCTCGTAAATTCATATTTGTTACTATTTGAATTGAATTTTAGTTTATATGACTTGGAAAATATTTTTGGTATGAAAATACATGGCTGAAATTATTTATATTAAAATAAAGATTTTAAACTTTGAAATGCTTATTATAATTTATATTTAAATCGCTTTACTGCAACCTAATCGTTTCAATATTAGTTATCTTTTTCGATATATCTAATATATATATAACTAATTATGTAGTTTTTCTAAATGATGGCCAAAATATTTAAAAAAGAATATTAAAAACAGATCACTATTTTTTATCATTTTTATCAATGAAAAACTCTTGAAATCAAATAACTAAGCTCAAATGTAATTTATAATATTACGAACGATAAATACACATGACGATATAAAAGATGACTTTATTTTGATGGTCCTATTTGATATCATATTAATTAGAGCATTTTTCTTATTATTTATACATCCAAATAATACTTAAATCTTTAAAATATGGAATTATCAAGTGAACACTCAAATGTTTAGACACTATATTTTAATTTATTTTCCCTTTCACCATTTACTAGAAAAACACCCTTACGATCAGTAATAAATCATTTTTGGTTGTGTTGAATATTATGAATAATAATTATCATAATAATTTGCTAACATTTATATTGGTTTTTCAAATTATAAAATTATTTGAGAAAGAATGCAATCGGGTTAGTAATGAAATTATCATAAACTGATCTGCATATTTTATTATAGCTGTAAAAATGATACCATGAATCATATAAAAATATTCATATAGGAAAAGATGACCTGTTGAAAAGATAATTGAATTTTATTATTTTGATAAGTTTTTTTTTATTTTATGTGAGATAATAGTAATGTCGAGATAATAGTAAGTCAATAAAATTACGAAATACATATTTCTAAAAAGCTATTATTTGGAAAATTTAAATAAAATAAAAAGTGCAATACTGGAAATAAAATATTGGCAAAAACTTTCGAAGTGAATACTACATAATCATCAAATATATTCTTATACACTTTCAAATAAATTGTACTTCACCAAAAGTCTTCACGTTCAACTTTAGCTCAAGCTTTTAAATAAATAACACTTTTAAATAGTTAGACAAGTTTAGATCTTTTCATAATAGTTCTAAACGTTACTGCAACTTTTAAATTGGACTTCTTGAACTATGTATAGACTTGAATTTACTGATTGTGAGTTATTTAGAGGTTTGTGTTTGAAATATTTTAGCGGATTCGCCAGCCACCGTGTGATGGTTCGCACGTGTAATGGACTCGAAATGAGAGACTCTGCGGCCGGACCGTTGGGTGGCACTAGTGCAGGAGGCTTCAGTGCTTTGGGAGTCGAATTCACAACGAGGTATGTAGAATTTATAAACTAACTTGAAGGCCTCTCATTAATCGTTTTAAGTTCAAGATCTTATTTCATTCTTTGTGACAATAAAAATGGGTAGTGCTGTCCTAAGGCTGAGATAAACTCAAAGTCGATTCAGGGAAGATGTAGTGTGAGAGTTTTTCCGATTTGCATTTCACGCCTCATTGCTCGAGCTGGGCTAATTTTTAATTGGAAACATATTTTTGATCTATACTTTCAAGTAAAAATGGGCATTCTTTGTGATACGTGGTAATATTTATATCTACCCCGCTCCCCCACTTAGCATCACCATCTATTTTAGTACCTACAGAAATCGTAAATTATTAGGAAATCTAGATATAAATAAGTACACGTAATATTTTACTAGACCCTCCCTTCCCTATATAATATTTCGTGAAATTTCTTGAAATTTTGTCAACTTCACCAATTTCAATCCTCACATGATTAATGGATGACCCCGTGGGTGCAGCTTTGTACTTTTAAAAAAGTAGCAGATACTGTCATTGCATTCAGCTGTATTTTGTCACTTCATTCTGGTCAATGGTATTAACACTAACCTGCTTTCAAAACGCTTTTGATTTATAAATATAAATGCATGCATTCATACTACACACATAAATACCTTAATATTTTTAAAGCGTACATGAATAATCAAAATGCTATACAACGCATATTTTGAATTAAGTCATTCAATTACGTTAAATTTTCTTATTTTTCTTTTATATTTTTAGAGAATTAGAGGCATTATCTCTCACCGGTTCTTCATGTCGAATTCACGGTTCGCCGCCTCTGATTCCTCCATCTATGTTGCCGCCTTTACCGCCGCCTGTCTTAGGAGTTCCTCCACCGCCTCCAAATACAATGCAACCGGCGTCACCAGCTGAACCTGGAGACGTTCATGGTAAGTAATATGCATGAAACTATTTTATATACAGGGTGTATCAGAACTTAACGTCAAGCCGAAACCATAACTATTATGCAAAAAATTAGACAAAAAAATATTTCATGTAGTTTGAAAATTGTGATCTTTTAAGTCCAACTTAGAGCTTAGGTGAGAACGCAAAAAATGTCGGTCATTGTGGTTAATTTTTATTAATTTTGTTTATTTACCGTAACTATAATTTTTTGGGCCACAATCAATTTTTTTTATTACACTGTATATTTAGCAATCAGAAATACTGTATACATATTTAGCAATCAGAAATACATTTTTTCTATAAGCTAAACTAGTAACTGAATATTGTGATTAAGATAATCCTGATTCAATGTAGAGATATATCCAAGTTTTATAATACCAAACCGAAAAAGCAGCCGATTGGCAAATTGGAATTAATACTTCAAACTGAATAATATCTTATTGTTTTTAACTATTTATTTGAATTATGATTTTATTTTAAAGATGAATAACAAACAAAACATAAAATAATTGTTTAGTATATTAATTATTGCTACATAACATCATATAATATTCAAATTTTAATTGCTTATATAATAATTCATATTGATTTGTTATGGAAAGTATACATACAAAATCACATGGCTTTTTGTATTTAATGATATTTATTAAATTTAATTATATTGTAATTAGTCTAAATTGTTTTTACTCGTCTTAGGTTTATTAACATCCGATAAGTCTATAATAATATATAGTCTTTTAATTCAGTAGGAACTATAATAACATATTTATTAAGAAAAAGTACAGCTAATTACATAATCAATTTTGTCGATATACTACGGATCAAATTATATGTAGAGTAAAGACATTCTGAGATGCTAAGTTTTGAGAAGAAAGTTCACAAATATATCTTTTGGTTGTTTTTGGAACATTAGCACATGAAGCATAAGCCCAAAGGCAAAAGTTATACATCGTGAAAAACCTTCGCCAACCTCACAACGGAGAAAGAGATCTTTGCAATAAATGCACTTCTCCTCTTTTACTGCTGGATTTTTCAGTCTATTTTCAGAAGTTTCTAGAGTAGAAGTTAAAAGTAAAAGGCCTTTAACAGGGTCAATTTTCATTTTTTTTTGCCTCGAATAAACTACCCTGTAGTGCTTGCAAAATGGTACTATGTCATTTTATACAATGTACAAGGTGCCCCATTTATATGTGGTCAATGGAAATGTTGAATAACTTGGCCTTGAACTACCCTGTAGTGCTTGCGAAATGGTACTATGTTACTTTGTCTAATGTACAGGGTGCGTCATTTATATGTGGTCAATGGCAATGTTGAATTACTTGGCCTCAAATGAACTACCCTGTAGTGCTTGCAAAATGGTACTATGTCATTTTATGCAATGTACAGGGTGCGCCATTCATATGCGGTCAAGGGAAATGTGGAATAACTTGGCCCTGAATGAAGTGCCCTGTAGTGCTTGCGAAATGGTACTATGTGCAAGTTAGATTAGTATGTCATTTTATCCAATGTACAGGGTGCGCCACATGTAAGTACATTGTCAATCGTCAATGTTGAATGACTTGAACAATTTTCAATGATTTTTGATAAACTTTTTTCATTACCAAATTCAAAGCCTTACATTTTTTTCCAGCTAGGTTTGAAAAAGCCTTTACTGCACGCAATCGGTTGAAATATGTCAAAGTTATTCAATGTTCCATTGACCAAAAATTGATGGCGCATCCTTTATAAGTATATTATTTTGTCCAAAAGTAATCAAAAATGAAAAAAATATCAATTATTTATCAAATCTGTCGATTGCAATAAAATTGCAATGACGCTCAACGTCTGACAGGATTGTGATTATGGCATTCGGCACGTTATACGGACGTGGTTTTAATAAGACCACTGTGTCTACATTTTATCTACTATTTTTCAATCCTTCAGCTAATTAAACAAATATTCATACGATTATGACTATTCCGTAGTTGAAGGTCTACGTCGAACAGGCAACGGCTCAGTGTCAGGATCCCGAACTGCGCTTCACTCTCACACTGCAACGCCAGCGCACTCACACTCAACTCCTGGACATCAGCAGGCGAACGGCGCAGCAGCCGCACCGAGCACGGCGGCGGCAGGTCAGCCTTCCTCCTCGACCTGCGAGGCGCAGGCGATGAGAGCCCTGCTCCACTGGCACAGATGCCCAGAACTACATAAAGCTATGGACGGTGTTACATATATTGCTGATCATACGAGGAAGGAAGAAGAATCAACGAGAGTAAGTAGGAAAAACGATTTTGATAAAGATATGTATTTTAAGGAATAAAGGCGTCGATCACAATTTTAATTTTTGCAAATATGCATTTTAAACAATAAACTATAATTCTTTTTTTTAATGCAAGTGATTTACTGATGGTTACAATACTTACGCACCACGTTGTTCATTAAATTAATTTATGATTGATTGTGATATTTGAGAGTTAAATAATGAAAATTATGAAATTTTGTATTTGTTGTCACTTCAAAAAATTGTTCATTTCAAACGAATTAAAATATTAATTCCTACTTTATATTCATCATTGAAGTTTTTCTGAAACGATCATTAAAAAAAAATATATTTGTAGACCCTTTCTGAAGTTTAGATATAGTATTAAAGAAAGAAACAATAGCACGATATAAAATGAAATGCCATTAGACCTATAGGTCTATATATCGAAACAAATTATTGTTTTATGCTATTATTTTCAATGCAATTGCATTTTTTTCTGCGTTTTCACTTGGATGTTTTTTGCTTAAGTGCATATATATATTGCACATATAATTATTTTTATAAAAAGCATATATAACAAGTGTTGCAAAATAGTTCTCAAAGAAATCATTCAATTCGTAATGTGAATGTGTAAAATACTGGCGCTAGATATCTGGCATCATATTGTCTATTCATTATGCTAGAGCAGAGAACACCAAACATTTTTGCATGTGCAAATTAAAAAAAAAAAAACAAAGTCAAATATTTCTAATTAAAGTATTTGATACATTTGATAAAATGTTCATTTACATATATCGTTTGCCTTTACATTTATAATTCCATATTTTGAGAGGGCTATAATTTACTCTACTATTTTTATTCTTGATGTTGTTTCTAATACGCTGATCTGACTAACTTGTTTGGAGTATGAAATTTCTCTCAAAATATAGTGTTTTTCAAACAATATACTCCTGTTACAAACTTATATTTTTATATCTTGTATAAAATGAAGTCGAAGTTTTCAATATCGAAAAATTGCAGTTGATATTCTGATAGATGAAAGAATTACTTTTTTTTAATTTCTCGATTTTTTTATTATAAATGAAATAATTCTTCAATTATGCTTGCATTGTTCAATAAATTTAACATAGAGAACATCAAGTGTTGTTTATAGTTTTGTTTCAAATATATCAATTTTTATTCGTAAAATATATGCATTGAGTCGATAATTATAAATATTTTAGCAATATTTAACTGTTTATACGTAAAAATAAAAATAAAAAATAAATTATATTCTGATATTTTATCAGCAGAACCCGGACAGTTTAACTGATTTAGACATATTAATTTAGAATACTGTAAGCGTACGTATTGCGCATAGACTATTTTTAAAATTTTGAAATAAATTTTTAATTTTTAATTTTTTCATTTTAAATAATTTTAATAACTAAACCATTTCTCATAGGCCTATAATATTCATTAATATCAACTCTATCATCATGCAAAGTTTTATCAAAATCCTAGAGGAGTAAACCTGAGATTCTCCTTGTTTGAAAAAGTAGTTTCATTTGCATTTGACATGCTCGTATATTAAGAATATTATTATTGAATAAACTATCAAGATATCGAATAAACGCTAAAAAAATCAATAATTCTAAAATGCTACAAATATTTTTAGGCAATATCTTTAGCATGTGGTGTCACCAATTTTATTCTTATATTGGTATATCATTATATTAATTCCTATAACTAATGTAGTGCTTCTAGGAAATTTATTTTATTAAAATTACTTTCATCATCAATAGTTTGAAACCATCATAAGAGCAAAGAAAAAGACACGTGGTTGATTCAATGTAGTTATGTTTTGACGACATTAGAGCATTGAGTAATATCATAATGACATTTATACACTTTCGTTCAGCAACATTAAATATATTATTTATTACATGACGAGTAATTTGAAACTTCTCATGTAAAATGCACATGACTTCAAATTATTGGGTTTATGCCCTAGATTATATCATTTCTAAATGTCAGAATTTATTAACAGCCAAAAACTAAAATTGATACATAATATTCACAACAAGGATTCATTAAACATTTATTACGGTATCAACCTAATAATAATTCCTAATAGCATTTTGAAAAATACAGAAAACTACATGTATCTAGGTATTCAAAAATTGTATCAATCATTCAAACAGTTGTTTGTTATGTAGTAGAATGAAAAGAAAATTCATAATATACATAACGGATTTACGTAAACGTTAATTTTGGCACTGTGAATTTAAAATAGCTTCCAAAGAAAATAAACATATAAACAGATGTGCATAGAAACATCTTCGTGTAACTTCTTTATCATCGTTGAGCTATTTGTAATCTATTTTTATTACCAAAATAAAATTTAACCTAGTGGTGCGTGGCATCGTGCCTTAAGGCAAATTGCAGGAACTTCCAGTAGCGTAACATAATGATCGAGGAATATTTAATGTTTTCAAATAGTTTATTATAAATACTTTAACATTGTCCAATATTTATAAGAATCATATAAACTGAATTACAAAGTTAAAATTATTTTTTTTTAAGTATAAAAGTGAGTTACAGAACTTTAGCCAGAATTAAAATTAAAATCTGAATTATTTTTGATACACAAAAAACTACGTTCTCTCAAAAACACGGTTTCTATTTTCGGCACTCCGTATTTCTGTAACGGCTGGACTTGCCTTTGCCAAAAACTAATCAGCTCATCTCCCTATCAATCGAATGCTTTTTGAACCATTTAAATCTGTTAATCCGTGCGCCCGAAAGCGTGGACAAAAATTATCCATACACACACATCAATTTTTTCTAAGGTACGCCAAAATGAAACCTTGAAACGTGAAGATATGCAAACATTTTCAATTTCGATTTTTGGACGATTACAATAACTTACCCTACGTAAAGTTAATAAAATCAGGCATTTAATAATTTAAACTCCATATTGCCAGTGTACTTCAACATATTGGTTGTTTCAAATCTTCAATTAATAATAATGCTGAAATAATTAATCAATATTCTTAAGAACGTTGATTGTTCTTAAGAACGTTGGTTGCTTAAGATATAAGAGCTAGATAGACTTAATATAAAGGTGTATTGCTACAAATGGATATATTATTACTATTAGAAATATTTAACTCTTTTATTGCATATAATATATGCTGCATCCCCATGGCTACCTAAATTTATGAGTGTTGCCTATGAACGACATCCAATGGCGATTGTTTTAAGGGTGTCTCCTACAGACGATATCCAATGCATCATCCCTTCTTCAATATTTATGACTTTGATATATTTAATATTGAAATTTCCAACTTGATATTGTAATTCCTAGTGCTTTAGAAGTGTGCTTGGTCGGTTCAGTAGCGCCTGGTCGTCTTGCTGGCCCGTACAGAAGACAACCACTGGGTTACCTTTAAATAACGCAAGGTTTTAAAGAATTGCATCACAGCACGCATTAGAATAATTTTATATTAAAAATATTAAAATCAACTCTTTCCAACTCCAACTACGATGGAGATTCCAAAATGTGGGCCTTAGTTGTACAAAATGGCGCTGCAATCTTGAATATTTGCTTCCATACTGTATAGTTTATCACAAAAATAAGAATAATTTTGTATTTTACAGTTTCGTATATATAAATATTTTGTAATACTTGTGATTACCGTACTGGGCCATGCACATAATGCGTAATATTTCTAAGTTTCTGGCTCGATAATCGTACGCGGGCTACGCCCTTATTAATTACATTTGGGATATTCATTCTTTTACCGTTCTTTTATTCTTAATATAATACTGATAATTTATACTATTTTTAGGTAAAAGAAGATTGGAAATACGTGGCTATGGTACTGGATCGCTTGTTCTTGTGGATCTTCACGTTGGCCGTAGTCGTTGGCACAGGTGGTATAATTTTGCAAGCGCCTACTTTGTATGACGATCGCGTACCAATCGATGTACGGTTGAGCGAAATAGCATCGGCCACTGCTAATGTACATGTCAAGCTATAAATAAGCCTATTTTGATTACCTGGTTTTTATTTGACGAGTCTTTAGCATTGGAAGAAATGGAAAAGACGCCTAAACGAAATTTTAGGTACTACGCAGATCTTAGGACTGCTTATATGATGGTCAAACCTATGGCCTGCCTAAGACTCAAAGAGCTACGTTGGGAAGGAAGAATTGAGGTATGAATATTAAATTTATGATGATAAATCTGATTTTTTGGATAGCATTGATATGGTGTGTTAACAAATTCTTGAAATTTATATTAAGGTTGTTTTATAATGACCTTTAAAATACTGAACATAATGCTCAAATTCTAGTTAAATCATAAAGTACGTCGAACATTTTGGATTAAAATTAAACATTAAATGGTTTTGAAGGAAACTTTTTTAAAGGGTTTAAAAGAATATTGAAATAATATTAATACAGGTATATGATATTTGAAAAATAATTCGTAGTAAATTGAGCTCTAGCGGCTCGAAACCCAGAAGAATAAAAGTAGCGCTAGAGCAATGGCCTAATATTAGGTTAATTAAATATTTGACTGTATTAAATTAATATGTTAATATGTTACGTAAGAACGATGTTATTTTATAGTTTAGCGTAGTTTTCGTGACATAATATAAATTAAGTAAGAAAAAAACATCTGTGACAAAAGAGGTTACATCAGCAGTAATCTCTCTAAAATAATCTAGTTTTAAAGTATATTATCAATAGAATTATATAAATCATGATCAATTTTCCATTTATCTATTTTTAGTACGCGCTCTTGATACTATGAACTATAAAACCTGTATTTCGTACTATTTATAAAACTGATAACAAACTGCCAAAAGTTAAATAAAATGTTTTATTTTTAAAAGTAAATTAATCAATTCTGGCAAGTTAATCAGTGTTAAGTCGTCCGTGCGAAGCCTATACTGTGCCAAAGTATCGTAAACTTGGCATTGAAGTACATCTATGATTGCCCCACTTGGATGATAAAATATTAATTTGTAGATTACTTTAAAAATAGATATCACATTTGCTTAATTTGTTAGAAAAGGCGTGTTATGCTTGCTACGGAAATTAGCTAAATGCGAAATGCGTTTTGTTCATGATGAAGACACCTCTTTGTCAAACAAAGCAAATTATAAGTAACAAGAATAGAGAAAAGTTATGGCTTCATTTTTTATCAATTCTTCACACTTTTTTATAATTTAGTTATTAGCTTAAATATTTTGCATAGACTTATAGGGAAAGTAGGAGTACAAAATAACATGGAGTTTTGTTTTTTAATTATATTTATTTATTTAAAGATATTATAAACAGTTCCTTATTTTGGATTTATTGATTACCAGCAAGATAGCTTATTAATGAAATACAAACTAGAATTTTTATTTATTAAGAAAAAAATTATCTAATTACAAAAACCATTTTGTTCATACGATATGGGCGTACAATATAAGGTAAGGTGTATACGATATAAAGTATAAAGTTAGTATAAAGAACGTTCACAAATAATTTATTTGATCTACTTTGGGACATCAGCACATGGTGAATGATCCCGAAGGAAATAAAAATACATCGTAGCCAACCTTCTTCTAGTTCAAAACGGAAAACTTTTGCAATAAATAACCAATAAACGGAGACTTTTGCAATAAATGCCTCTTCTTTTTACCTGTGTATTTTTTGGACTGTTTTCAAAAGTAGTTAGGCAAAAAGTTTAGAGCCAATCACCTTTGATAGGTTTCAATTTTATTATTCTTCATAGAATGAACCATCCTGTAGTTCCTACAAAATAATACTGTGTCATTTTGTCCGAAAGTAAACAAAAATGAATAAATAATAAATATTTCATTAAATATTGATTAATGCAAAAAATTGATCGAAATTACTAGTACTATTATGAGTTTATGGATTTTGATAGAAATAATTTTAAATAACAATAAATAAGTCAAAGGACATCACGAAACCATCTTCAATATAAACTTTCAAAGGCGCGATACCAGTTTGAACTGATTACTGCGACAAGAGTGTGACAATGACGCCCAACATCTGACTGGATATTGATTATGGATTTCTTCATATTATGCAGTCACAAAAATGTTACTAAAACTTAAATGAGACCACTGTGTTATTTTATCCATAAACATATACTATTTTATCCGTATTTCCCTTATATCTTCCCTGATTTTTACTTGGATGAAAATATTTGTGTCTTTTGATTGTTTGACTATATATATTCAAATATTCGTATTCCTATGCATCGTATATAATTTGAAATGTCGCAGAAAGAAATTAATTTTTAAGTTAAAATTGAAAATATATTGTCCAATTAAGTTACCATAAATAGCTTAATTTGATAAATTGATCTTTTCACCAATCGTAATTATCCTAGTATGATATAAAGTAGTATCATAATTTTTCTTTTAATATTTATCATATTTGAATATTTTATTCTTTTTCACATGTTTAAATATTTATGATATTTTTTCGTCTAACATGGTATCATAATAGTTTAAAACTACTGAATAATACTGCAAATTTCGTGTAGTTATTCTCAACTTGTTGATGATTTTTTTATCGTCGTTATATCAATTAATACTGGATTATTGTAAAAAAAAAAAAGAAACATCTCTATTTATTTGCTTATCAAAGTTAAAATGTATAGTTATTGTTTAACTAGTTCTGACATTTATCAACAAATCAGATACAAAATTTGAAAATCAATTTTTTATAGAATTTTATTAACTTCAAATTGTAATTTTATTGAAACGGATCTACCAATTCACATAACTTGTGGAATATGTAATATAATATAATCATTATAATCCAAATTAATACTTCTCAAAGCATCTAACTATTATTTAGAAGCTCATTTTCAATTTTAGAAAATTTTATTACTCTAACAGTTAAGTTTTTGTATGTTCATAGGATCTAAGAGCGCGTACTAAAATAACTGAAAACCATTACCTGATATATTTCTATAAAAAATGCAGATAATATATTATATATTGCTCATATATACATAAGTAACATTAGTTTAAGTATATAGCTCTAAAGTATAGTAGAAATCACATTTCCATTTAAAAATCACACATATCTCATACTATCCACCAAATAATACATCAAACGTATTTATATAATATTCTGATTTACTAAAATTCAAATAAAATAATAATAAATTATTGCGTACTTAATTTTGCAAGTCAAAGTACATTTTTTTATAATTGTATGAGTTTTTAAATTTATTTAGATCTACAAAAGTAACTAGTAATTATTTTTTTTTTATAATACAAATTATTCTCTGCATTTTGGATAATTAAATATCAATTATTCATAAAAGTTCTCCTTATTTTTTTCGACTTGCTAAATAGATCTTATGCTAAAAACTGTCAATTTCAAAACTCTAATATAACAATATTGACTAGAACTTCACAAAAATCATTCTTATACAAAATAAATATAAATATATTTAAAGCACATAAATATAATACTGCAAATACTTTTCAGTCAACGATTCTAGAATTGATTCTAATAACTGTATATAATTTAATTCTAATGATGATTTGTAGTTTATTCTAATTTAAATAATAAGCTATTAGCTAAATGAAAATGAATAAGTAAAATTTCAAGCTCATAATATAATAAGCTATTAGCTAAATGAAAATGAATAAGTAAAATTTCAAGCTCATAATATAATAAGGTTTCGAATGATTGGCTGTATTACTATAATATAAAGCAAAATTAAATTAGATTTATTGACTGATTAAAATGCCAAATTTGATAAAAAATAATATGTAATATAAATCATTGCATGGAATACTTTTAAGATCTCACAGAATTTAAAATTTTCAATTAATTTTTTCATACACAAATTATTGGAAGAAACTTTCTTTTATTACATATATACTATAATTTAAAAAATCATAAATCGTTGGCTGAAAACTTATTTAAATACCTTAATATGTAATTTCAAAATTCGACCATTTAGCAAAATTGTGTTCCAAAATCAATAACTTTAAAATAAAAAATAATATATTAAAAAATAAATCAAAGATGTATGCATACACATAATACATAAATATATATTCAGAATTTTCGGGCATAACTTAAACTTAAACTAAAATTATTTTGAAATAAGATTTTTGTATTTTCAATTTGTTGTTATAAGTCATTATTACGTTTTAAATTTTAATTTACAAAAATATAGTTATTTTATGTCGGTTAATACTATTTTATAAATAATTATCGTTTATTTATTACTGTTATTACATACATATTTTCACTAAACACATATGAAATAATGAAAAATAATTAATAAAAAATATTCAAAAAAACTTATATATATTTAAAAGAAAGCTGCCCTATTTAGATGAAATCGTTCTATTTATGTCACTTTGTACCAAAATAAAATGCAGAAATAAATCTCTAATATAGTGATATATTTTCCCAAATCAATGTTTTTGATTGGATTGAATAGTTGCAAGAGAATGAAATGGTCTAATTGGTTCGATGTTTTGCATACCAAATTGTAATTTAATTGTATGTAAACATATTAGTTTTGTCTTGAAAATATTTAAAGCTTTGTAAATCGATTTGTTTCGGAATTTTCCATTAGGAACTGCTTACAATATCCATATGGAATAATGCATTAGGTCTATCGATGTTTATTCGATTGACTGACATTTTCAATCTTACCTGGAATGTGTTTATTCAAAGTTCTTCTCGAATGTTAAGAATAAACTTTGCTTAAACACGAAGGCTTTTGATTTAAATGCTACATACTTGGAAACTCTAAATAATTTTCATTATTTTTATTAAGTTGAGAATTAGTCATAGACACTACACTACATGGAATGCTAGTCCTCAAACATAGAAGGGTATATGACGTCACATGTCTGAGCGAACATTGCCGACGACAATCGCAAACTCTGCCTATTGATCAAATGTTATATATCATATATTACGTGCCTAACATAGATCTTATAATATATAAACCAATTGTAACAGGTGGATTTGATTTCATGTACATTTATT